GGCAGAAAAAAGCATGAACTCTTTAAAAACACAGTCTAATAAAAAATACCCCTGCATTTTCTCATGGCTGGTTTCTGGGGTGGATGTGGGAAGCAGCTTTGCTGAGCAGACTGTGAGTTGTGGGAGCAAGGGGTGAAAGCTTTCCCTTTGGTTTATTAGATGCTTAAGGAGTTTACTAGATTTATTTTCCTTATAAGCTATTATTTGAAAAATTGCTGAAGCTGTGCTTTTATATATATATATAAGATCATACATTTTTACTGCATCAGAAAGGGGATTTCAAATGTAGAATATTTTGGATCAGGCACTGTTCCTTTAGGCTGTTTGAAGTTCCAGATCCCCAAAGGTATTAATGGCAGCTCCTGAAGGTGGATCCCAAGGCTGATGTTTAAAACTTAAACATCCTCTTGGTATCCAGGCCTGACTACAGGCTACAGCCAGAGGCCTCTGAAGTCTGTCCCTTCAGCTGCCACTGCAGCACTGCTGGTTAGTGCTTTGGGATACAGTTGAGACATACAGCCTTATTTTGATCCTTAAGCTAAGGAAAACCACACTGAGTTCAGTAAGTTACCATGATGAAAGCAAGATAAAAATGCTTGTCTCTTTTGTGACTGTAAAATTCCCAAATCATTATGTTAAGAAATCAGTGACTTTTTTTATGAACTGGGAAAACTGCCTCTCTTTAAAACAGAAGTCCTGAATAGATACTAAAACTGCAGACTGAAATTAATTAAGTAATAATGCTATCAGCAAACTGTTTTACAAGGCAATTAGATAATTCTCTGGTGGCTTATTTATCCCAAGGAAAGAAAAGTGATGTCATCAGTGTTATTATCTATTTGTCAGTCTGGTTTATTGGGAAATAATAAAACTTATTATGGGTATTATAACCATCTGAGGAAATGTGTTTGTAATGTAATTAAGAGTAAGATCTCTGTTGATATGCTTGGATCCTGAACACTTATTCATAATCTGCTGTGTAAACAACCAAGGGCTGCAGTTTTGCTAGCGGAACTGTTCATGTTTGTGAAGAAAAGCAACTAACCAAGAAAAAGCTCTAAAAATTGATCTGAAATAAGTTAACATCTCAGGAGGGGGAAAAAAAAAAAATCATGTACTTACCTCCTGCATCAGGGAAGATCTCACTATATCAGTTTTCTATTGATAGAACTCACCTCTTTGGTGTACTGCTTAAAACCTTGCGAGGGTGTGTGACACAGGCAGAGGTGGAAGTGTTCCCATGGGTGCTGGGAGCTGCATGAGAAGGACAAACAGCTGGGGGATTTGGGTTAGACAACTGGAAAAAGGTTAAAATGAGCAGAAGCGTGTGTGTACACACATGTAATTATTTTATAGGTGAGGAAAATGGTTATGCTCTCTGAAAGTTTACTGCTTGTGACCTCTCAGGCTAGAAGTGTGTCAGCACAACTGGCAGACATTAGCTCAAGAAATAGATGGGAGGAATAGAAACTTTTATAGTGCATGAGCCTTTAAAATGGAGGCATCTGGCTTCTGCTTTCCTGAAATACAGGAAACAAATGGTTGGGGTTTGTCTGCAATTTTTGTTTTTTTAATATACTGTGGCTGACCTTAAATATTTTAGTTCCAGAAGGCAGAATCTGATCTGGATTATATTCAACACAGACTGGAGTTTGAAATAATGAAAAGTCTTCCTGATGATCCAGCACCAGAGGTAGTATTTTCAGATTAAATTAATATATTTTATTGCATTTTGCATGAAGTTAGTAATAAACAGGTAACTTACTTTAATCCTAAAATATATGTGGCTGTTTTTTTCTCTGTTTGTTACATTTTTGTTATTATTATAATAAAGTATTTCTTGCATCATATATCAAGATAACTGGCCTGATACTAATTCAGGGCAGAAACCAACAAAACCCCCTTGGTTTCTTGGCTTGGTGAAATTCTCCCATGTGCTGGTTTGAGAAATGAGTAGTAGTGCTAACACCTAAATCGAAGCCACAGATTCCAGTCCAAGCTAAAATGCACCCTTGCTCTGAGATTAATAAGCAAGGACTAAATTCAGACTGGGGGAAGAGATGAGAGGAAGAGGAAAACAACAAATGGCATCATCAATAGGAAGGATTTTATAAATAAGATCTTGTCTCCAAGCATATTGTAATACATAGTGGAAAAATAATCTTTTTACTTAGTTCCGAACTTCTTCCAACTCAGAAGAGCCATTAAAATTCACCAACACAGTAAATTAATCCTCCTGCACTTGTTGTGGAACCACAGAGGTATGCTGTTTTATTAATGCTATCTATCATTTTTGCTTATGAAAAATTAAATTTATAGATGAAACAGATGCTCACAGCTACACTTTTCATTGCAAAGGGTCATTTCATGTTTAAATATTTTAGTGTCTCTAATCCCAACACTTTTAATTGGTATGTGGCCACATTAATTTTCTCTTCTTAAATAGTTTAAATGTACTTTTAATTTCTACCCAGGAAAATCCAGTTGCCCTCTTGGAAGAACTCGCCATGGTGAAATCTCGTTATAAAAAGTTATGCATGCAGATGGACAAAATTTACACAGAGCAGAGAGACTCCATGAAGGCCATCCGTGCTGCTCTGGAGGGCACAGTGAAGGTGGTTCAGGCTTTACACCAACATACTGGTCTTGAGGTAGGAGTTTAGTTTCAATCACTTGGGTCTCACTCCTGTAAGTGCCCCTGTGTTTGTGTAACCCCTGCATCGGTGGGAGCAGTTCCGCTGGGAGCGGTGACATGTGCAGACTCCTGGGAGATAAGACTGTTGATGTGAAGAAATGTCTGCAAGACTGGAGCTTTTTTTGTAAATCCTAAGCCTGATTCATCACTCAACAGGGAACCAGTGGTATTGAGTTCTGGAGCTGAAGTAGTACTGTCACAGTGTGCCACACGTTTGAGCAGTTTCATGGGAGCCTGTCTGTGTCTCTGCACAGCTGTGGCCCAGTTCTGGCACTTTTTAAAAGTAGCCACCTTAAAGAATTTAACAAGTGAACCCAAACTTAAAAGGCAAAGTAAGCTTTTAAATGGCAAATATGTTTTTTGCTGTCTGAAGTGAGTGAGTTAAAAGCAACACTTAACTTACACAGAGGAACTGCTGGTAGTGCAAAGAAGGAAGTTTCTCACTATGACAATGCACATCTATCTACTAAAAAAATCATCAACAAACAACCCATTTTTGTACGTGGCCTTCAGAAAGGGCTTCATTACAGTTTTGGAGAGGTTGTGAAAGCAGTAATTTTGTCTCTTTACAAATAAGCTTTTTTTAATTTAAATCATCTTATTGATAGCCTGGTGGCAAAGACACAACTGGTGTGACTAAAACATGTTCCCAGATCCCGGCTCTCACGTTAATGTTCTAACAGCAGTGCCCCAAGATGGTGTTTAATCTGTCAACAGCTCTAGAGGAGTTACTGCTAAGTCTTTATAGATAAAATGTACTGCATAATGATTTAAAAGACAGTAGTTAGATGTCACAGAAAGGAAAAAATGTTTTCTTTCACTGTGTTCCAAGGATATGCTGCCAAGAATATTTGGATTTTGTTGAAGCGGGAGAGTCTTTTCTCTTGAGTTATATTTAGACTTTTAAGATAACGATTTTCTTGTACTTTGGATATTTCCTAAACCAAAGATGGATTAAACTGTTACAGAGAAATCTACGTCTTTAAGTGAAATACTTCTTTTTGTTGAATAATTTATCTTCTTCCCTTGAATCATTTATGGTATTGATGTTACAGGAATACTAGGGTTGGATTTTTCAGACATACTCAGCTTGTAAATTTGCTTTCACTGGAGGGGGAGTAGGAGTCTAGTATTAGTTTCCATGCAAAAAGGGCTACACAAACATACAGCTCTTCTGTAAATATCACCACCCTGGGTACTGAAGCTATCCTGGCTCTCTGTGTTTGTGTTTTTTCTAGCACTTACCTCTGTCAGAGGAAGAGCAGATGGCAGCACAGCAGTTAACCTGCCAAACCGTTAGAGAAATGGAACCCCTCCTGGAAGAGGTAATTAGGCCACAGAGTGTCAGTATTCCAGAAACCATTAATCCTGGGTTGCTCAGCTTCAGTTACAGAGGCTGTTTTTCTGAGTTAGCACCTCTCAGTTGAAGGGAATTTTTCAGAAATATGACTAAAGTTTCTAATAAGCCATTTCTTTTTTATTGTGTACTTATAAAGTTTATTATTTGATCCAATTAAATTGTGCACAGAAGAAAAATTTGCTTTGATGGAAGACTTATTTTTGAACTGATATGTTTAAATTTCATTCCAGAGATGCAGCTGGTTGCTCTTGTCAATCCCATTGTTCTGTTAATGCAATATGTAAGAAGCCCTTGGGTGGGAGTGAAGAATGTAATTTGATTCAAACCAATGTGTATCAAAATGGAGAGACGTTCAATTTCCTGTGAAATGTTAAATAAATTGTGGAATATGGGTAACAATAAGTATCTTCTAACTTGCAGTAATGCAGCAGAAGACAGATCTAAACTAATACTTGTTAAAAAGTCAGATATTCTCCCATAGCCACCCAAAGCACAAACTTCTAATCTAATTACCTGCAAAGATTTAGGTCTGGGTCTCATATTAGAAGCAAAATATTAGAGAAGGTTAATAGAGCCTAATTATCTTATTGACCTTGTCTTTTTCTACATGCCTCCTCACTGCCCACCACTCTCCTGCCACAGGACACCTCGCTTTCTGTCCCCTTACTGCCACGGTTGGTTTGCACGAAAGCCAGACGGTGTCTTTGTGAGTTACCTTCTCCTACACTGACAAACACTCTTCATTTCTGCCTTTCCATTCTTTAATCCTAAAGCATTTAACACAGCTGGCATAAACCAGGCCGATGCCAAATGGAGCTGTATGCTACAGCCACTGAGGCCTGTTTAGCTGGTGTTGGTCCCTGTGTTGTCACTGCGTGTGTTCTGCAGGTATTCCCTGAAAGGCAGAGGGAATGGAAAGGCCTCAGGAAGGCCCAGGGGTTTTGCTGTCAGTGCTGCATTTCTGGCCAGGGGGGGTCACATGCAGCTCTCTCCAGCCATCAGAGCTGTCAGCCTCTGAATGCTGCTGGAGAAGAGCAGAGCCACCTTTCCTTTGCTGCATGTGCAGAGCTTTCAGCTCCATCTGTGCCGGAATGCAGCGCAGAAAGCTCGGGAGGCTCAGCTGATCTGCATGTCAATCCTCCTGTACCCATTGTAAACTTATTTTTATGTGGAACTAGGGTTTGAGATTTTGCTGTTGACTTCAGTGGCTGCAAGATCCTTGGTTATCCAGTAGTAAAGTGTAATTACTAATGCAGAAATTAAATTATAAAAAATAATTTCTGAAAAAAATGCCAACAAATCCTGACATGATTTCTTGTTTATTTTTAGCCATGTTGTTCAGGATCTACAGTTCCTGGCTCAACTGAAGGTAAGTGCAGGAGGAATAATCTTCATGCTGTTGTCTTTGACAGACCCAATTTATTAATCTACCCCAAGTCTCAAATTAAACTATTTTTCCCTGGGTCTGCAGGTACAATGACAGTTTGGAGGGACTGTCTTCTGTCTTTCCTTCCTCCTGCTGGAAGATGTTCCTTTAGATTCATTTACAGAGGGGGTTCTTAAAAAGTAATGAAAGCACCTTCTGTCTTTGGCCTAATTTCTGAAGAAAAAAATCTCTTCTATATCTACTTTTTTAGAACCACATTTCAAGCCTTTGGCTGAGGAGACACTTCTGACCGTACCGCGGGGCATCAGAAGCACTGTTAAACTAGCAGACTTGAACACTTTGTAGTGGGAGTTATTTAACCACTTTGTTGTAAATAAGAACACATAAGACTTAAAGCCATTCATTAGTATGAATTATATAAGCTGTAAAGAAATTCCACCTTTTCAAATGAAATAAAAGCACCTAGTTAACCATCAGCTGTGATATTGTACCTTAGTAATTCGATTTTGCTCCTCTACACCCTTCCTGGTTAGGTGCAGACCCCAAAGTGTTAGGTCATCGTACAGAATCCTCTAAATTAATTTGTATAAAAATGGCTTTTATGGTTTGATCATTTTCGAAACTGCATGTCAGGTTCTTCAGAGACAGATTTTTTTTCACTTTGGTTTCACTGACAGATGTCCCAAACTGGGTGGTTTTGCTGACAGTCACAGGGCCAAACCCTTTTAGCTTTCAGAATCAGCATCCAGGCTGGAAAAGCAAAGCCCTAAACCGTGACCCCCAAACCCCACCCTCCCCACAGCAACCCCTGCTGGAGCCCTGACCACTGCCTGAGACCTGCTGCAGATTTTTTTCAGGCTGTTAAAAATGAGGAAGTTTAACTTGGGAATTCTGTCTCTTTAGTTCTAAGGCTGGACTAGCAAATGACTTCTTAGTCTGAAGGAGCACAGAAAAGATGATGACAGTCTGAGTAAGTATGACAATTACAGAGCACTCCCCAAAATCATTCACTGAACAGTATGTGCTTTTTAGCCTTTTCCTGCCAGACTGATACTCTGCTGTGTTTTTGTCTTACAGAGCAGCACTGAGCATTTTGCAGATGAAGAAGATGAATATGAAAGCCACTGACTCCAGAATACGAATCTTGAAAGAACTTGCTATTGTGGAACTTGACAAACAAGGAAATGTTAAATTAGTTGTGTAAATGTAAGCTCAGGCCATTCTCAGTTGGCACACGAGCATCTTGGTGCTTCTGGATTATTAACATGCAAGGATTTCTGTGGTGTCTGGGAGTTCTAAGTCTGTTGTGGGAAAGCTGTTAATGTTTCCGTAGAGAAATTCTATTAAATTTTTAAGTATTAAATTTAATACTTAAAACTGAAGAGTTAAAAACACTGAGGTTGGTATTTTGTCTTGGCTGTTTACAGGACTGTAGTGCATTTTTGAAGAGTATTGTGAAGCCATGTGACACTTCCATACTCGTGCATACATTCCTGAGTTTGTTTTTAAGACAAATAACCCAAGCCACTTAATTGTACTTACATTCCTGAATAAATGATGAAAGCTAAGGCGACGAGGCTGTAGATTTATTATGCTTTTGTTTGTGTGACTCCTGACCCTGTGACCTGCCCTCACCCCTGAACCAGGTCTCTGACCCTTTTAATTTTCTCTTGATGTGAACCATCTTGGTTTTTTACAGTCCAGCAAAACTGCACTCCCAGAATAGCTGAGCTTGGAAGGGACCTCTGGAGATTGTCCAGTCCAACCCCCTGCTCATAGCAGGGCCGACTACAGCACAATGCTCAGGGCAGCGTCCTCCAAAACTCCAAGGACAGAGAATTCAGAACCTCCAATTGCAATGTTTGACCACCCACACAGTTTAAAAAAAAAAAAAATTATTTTTAATGTTTATTTCAGCCTAATTTGAGGCAATAAGGTATCTGAAATTTATGAAGTTCCTACAGATTATGTGAAAAATTATGGCTGTAAAAGGAGAGAAATTCAAATTGCCTTTTGGAAGGGAAAGGCCAGCTTCTGCTCAGTGAGCTGGTTGGTCTATGCAGAGTTTGTTGGCAAGAGGGACAGGATATGTACTGAAGAAGAAACAGGAGGAAGGGACAGGGGTAACTTAATTTTATGTGTGCTCCTGAGTCTGCCCTTTTACCTACAAGGCCACTGTTAGTTCACAAACTTATCTCACATCTGAGCATTTAGGCATAATCGGACTGATCCCTCTAGTTTTACGTAGCCCCGTGAGGAGCAGAGGAATACCTCGCAATCCTTGTGGCCCCTTCCAACCTGACATACTCCATGATTTTCAGTGGAGGACTCGATCCTTGTTCAACACTGTCGAAGGCAGCGAGAGCGTTTAATTCACTAGTGACATCTGACGGAAATAACTCGGGATACCTGTCTCTGGCTCGGCGGGGCGGGGCCGGGGCTGAGGCCGCTGCTGAGGGCGGGCGGCGCAG